TAGAAGCTGTTGAGAAAATATAGGCTTTACAACAGCATGAGTGTAACTCAGTAAAGAAATAACTAATTAGAATCTCCTTCTACTTATAATAAGTACAAGCTAGACTAAATGTACTGCTTTGGAGTATAGTACTCTCACATACAACAAAATTTTATAGCCCTTGCCTTCGCTGACTATAATCTTATTTGTTTTTTTAAACTGTAACTGGTTGATAATATTAGCTCCCAAAAAAGTATTCACTACATTATTCAATGTCTTTTACATAAAGATCCATGAAAAATCCCTCTTAGAATTTGGAGCCAGAATTTTTCTCCTAAAGAACATGCACAGTTTATCAGAAAATAAGACCTAAGTGTATGTGAGGTGATGCATATGTTAATTAGCTTGATTTAGCCATTTTACAATGTATGCATATTTTCAAAATATGTATATTTTGTAAACTTTAAGTTTTTAAAACAAACTAATTGTTTCAGAAATGAAAGTAAGATCTGGCCAGGGGCGGTGGCTCATGCCTGTAATCCCAGCACTTTCAGAGGCCGAAGTGGGCGGATCACGAGGTCAGGAGATTGAGGTCATCCTGGCTAACACAGTGAAACCCCTTCTCTACTAAAAATACAAAGAATTAGCCAGGCATGGTGGCGGGCGCCTGTAGTCCCAGCTACTTGGGAGGCTGAGGCAGAAGAATGGCATGAACCCAGGAGGCGGAGCTTGCAGTGAGCCAAGACTGTGCCACTGCACTCTAGCCTGGGCTACAGTGAGACTCCATCTCAAAAAAAAAAAAAAAAAAAAAAAAGAAAGATCTAACTAATCCATCAAGTTTCCTTTGTTGCCTTAGCTGCCAGAAAATTGATCTCTTTTCCATGTTTTTGATCTAATATATCTTCTGCTTAAGTACACATGGTTACATGTTCTTTGCAAAATACCTCAAATATCTTCTATCCTTTAAGATATAAGATAGACTATAAATTATAAATTTAAAAATAATCATCTTAACAATATGATTGCAATACTAATGTGAAATAATTTCACCTAATAGCAGTACCACAAACAGCCACTGCATTCATCTGTGGTTAAAAAAAATCAGCTTTCATCAACTCAGAAAAACATATGATTGTTCAGAATGATTGCTTTTTAAAAAATACTTGACAAAAGCAAAATGTGAAAACCAATGTTTACACACAATACTGCCTTTCCACCCTCAAGCTATTGCTTGGGAAATGCAAAACAGTATTTCAGATAATTAGGAAAGAACCTCCCTTTACAATATGAGACCTTTTTAAAATAATAAAATTCAAATTCCAATTCTCACAAACAAATATGCAAGAAAAAAATGCCGTTGTTTAAATATTTTTTCTTCACAGACACTGCAATGATTATCTTGAGACATAATAATAGAAGCTACATCTACTGTAGGCGTCCTATGTGGTAGGCACTGTGGGTAGTTACCTATCTCTGATTACAATTACCAGCAAGGTAGCTCCCTTGCCCATTTTACAGATGTGTAACTAGCGTAGTGACACTACATAAGGGCATATAGCTAGGCTGAATTCCGTGCTTTCTATAACTCAAAAGTCTATGTTATTCCACTTTAAATGAAGTAATAAGCATTTTTTTGGGTCCTTTTTCCGAAAAGAAAGCACTGTTATGTGTGCTTTCATTTTCTCTAGTGCTTCTTTTTGCTTCAGGAATTAGAATAAAACACACAAGTTGAATTTATATTCAAATGAGATTAACAATTGAAATAAAAATGCTTAGGTTACAGTAATATGTTCTCTTTAGTTTGAATCCTATAAACTTAAAATCTACCTGAACAGAGTTTTCTGTTTTTATACTAAGAAAAAAGTTTACAAGAAAAACAATAATGTAAGTTTTTAACGGAAAGAATGTTAGGACTTAATACGAAGACAAAAAAGCAGGAATGAGTTGAGACTTATTCTCTCCTTCATAAACAAATAATCCTTAAACTATGTAAACAATAACACAGCACCATAACACTGAGTAACTTTTACATGCTTGGATTTGTAAAAATGGTGCAAGGAAATCTCTTTAGATAGTGGACTTGTTCCCGAGATGAATCTATCACTTGGGGAAAGGTGCTGGCTATATAACCTAAGCCGATAGTTACATAACTTAAGAACAGACATTAAAAAAACTATTTTTCCATGTTTTTCCCTTCAGCCTAATTATGTACTCTCTAAAAATACTGGACCTTAATTTTTGACCAGGTGATAAGTAAAACAACATAAAACAAGTTTATAGGGAATAGTTGGGCTATCACCTATTGACCCCTGTCTATCATCATCAACCCAGTTCCTTCCCTGTATACCCTATAAAACTTCTTATTGGTTCCTCATTTATCCTTTCAGAGATTTATTACACAGTTCCTTATTAAAATAAAGTTGGCTACAGGTACTTCACACATTCTAATGCTCTTCTTTTCATTTATCTCAATTTAACATGACCTAAAGAATGTCTGGCTATACTTTCTCAATGCCTTACATGCAGTCTTTGACTCCTCTAGCAAGGCTTTAAGTGAGCAGTACTGCAGGTAAAGCAAAAATGTGGTGAGCAAAGCTGACACCAAAGCTAGTGGTAAAACAGCTACAAGCTGACAGACATATAATCAAAACCTAACCTTACCAGCAACATTAAGGCAAATGAATTAGTATTTTCTAAATACCTAGCATAGTACCTATTATATCTATTTTACTATACAGTGCAGTTCCTTTTACAAAATAGACAACATATTTAGTCTTTTTTTAAAATTTTTTTAAAAAAGGGATTTTTTGTCTACCAGGCTTTCTAACATAATGATACACAATCCTAAATCACCCTGGACTTAACAACAATAACAAAAAAGATTAAGTATATTATTAGTATATTGAAAACTAACCTATTACCAAGGATACAAATGTATTAGATATAAAATATAACCTGTGTTCTCAAGTACTTAATTGTATTATGGGTTGGAAATAAAAATAAAAGTCATACGTAACAAGTAAGTGGTACAAACAAGTGTCATAAAAATGTAGCCTGAGGATAGTACACTTGTACTTGGAATGATCAGGAGAGACATTAAGAAGGTAGCTTTTGAGCCAAACCAAGAAAGGTTGGCTTCATGGAGCAGAGAAGGGGGCCAAGAAAGCAGCAGCCAGTCAATGCAATGGGCTTGGTGCTTTAAAATATTTAAGTAGGGAATGGCAAAATACAGCTCATGGTCTAAATTCAGTCCACTGCCTGTTCTGTATAACCTGTGGGCTACCAGTGGTTTTTATGTTTTTAAATGGTTGAAAAGTATCAAAAGAATATTTTATACCATATGAAAATTATGAAATTCATATACAAAGTTTTACTGGCACACAGCCACATTCATTCACTTGCACATTATCTGTGACTGCTTCTGTACTGCAAGGCAGAGTTGTATAGTTGCAAAAGAGATCATGTGAATCACAGCCTAAAATGTACTATCTGGCCCCTTAGAGAAAAAGTCTGCCAACACCTTGCCTTGGGAAGGCCTATGTAGCTGAAGCATTATGAATGAGGGGCTGGGTGGAGGATGGTGAGACTGAAGCTGGAAGAGCTAAGAGGAACCTGTGTGTCATGGTGAGGATTTGAGTTCACATCCTAAGAATAATGAGGAAGCCGTTAAAGAGTTTTAAGTAGGAGACTGACAATTAGATTTGCATTTTGAAAAGATCATGCTGGTTGTTATTTTGGGGACCAGCGAACTAGGAGATATGAAGGCTAGTATAGTTCAAGCAAGATATGAATATAGCTTAAACTTTGGTGCTGGCAAAGTAAAACAAGGAGGCTAGGCAAGATTATTTCTGAGATCTCTTCCAGTTCTAAAACGCTAAAAAGCCAGTGGTTCAAAGTCTAGTTTTGCAGCTTTCCTGAGTGTTTCCAATTATCACGAACAATTCTCAAAACTGTTTTGCTAGGTGACAAAGATTCTTTGCCAGGCCAAACTTTGTTGAGGTTTTTGAATCTTCTGCTAGGCCCATCTGTCCAGTTTTAGCAAAGAACTCTGCTAAGTCAGTTTAGCAAGAAACCCCTATTCTTTATATCTGATTGTCCTTTACCATTCTCCATGATGTCTGATCACCCTGGACTGTTTTTTAGCAAGAATCCTGCTAGGTTGGTTTAGCCAGAATCCCCTTTACCCTTGATGTTTCCTCTTAGTAAGTTTCAATCCACTGATCCCACATTGCTTCTTGGCTATAAATTTCCACCTGCCCATGCTGTATTCAGAGTTGAGCCCAATCTGTCACCTACTTCAAGATCTCACTGCAGTGGCTGCTATACTTACCATGACGGTCCTGAATAAAGACTTCCTTACTGTGCTTTAACAAGTATCGTTGAGTAATTTTCTCTTTAACATAGGAACAGCTCCCCAGTAGGTAGAATAAGTTAAAAATAAGCCAACAGAGCATTATGCATCTAAAGAGTGTTGGAATGACTACAGAATAAATGCCCCTCCCTCCATTAAAGCACTTTCTAAAATATGATTTATATTTGTTAAAGTTAGAAAGAACTACTTTTTTTTTTTTTTTTTTTTTTTTTTAATGAGACGGAGTCTCACTCTGTCACCCAAGCTGGAGTGCAGTGGCCAGATCTCAGCTCACTGCAAGCTCTGCCTCCCGGGTTTACACCATTCTCCTGCCTCAAGTCTCCTGAGTAGCTGGGACTACAGGCACTCACCACCTCGCCCGGCTAGTTTTTTGTATTTTTTAGTAGAGACGGGGTTTCACCGTGTTAGCCAGGATGGTCTTGATCTCCTGACCTCATGATCCGCCCGTCTCGGCCTCCCAAAGTGCTGGGATTACAGGCTTGAGCCACTGCGCCCGGCCAGGACTACTTTTATGATATTAAATTTACAGTTAAAGAATTGACAGGTAAATAATACAATTTAAATGAACACACAACACAAATACTGCTTAGGAACATTTTCACTGCACTGTTTTCCCCACAACTTAGTAATGACAAAACAAAGAACATACCTGCTACATTCTAACAATGTAACTTTAAGACGGCCTTCAGTAAGTGCCCATTGTTGTATATGGATATGCTCTTCATCTTCTTCAAATCCTTGCAAGGTCTGGTATGGAAAAAACGGCTTAAACCTGACAAAAGTAAAGATAAGTCTAAATGTCTGAATAATAAACACCACAGTTTAAAGCATAACAAAACCCACCCATACAAAAACACAAAGCAAAATGAACACCTAATACTACATGTGCTCTACAAAACCAAAGCTTACCACACTCCCCCATAACTGACAGCAAATGGTGCCTTCGCTATGGCACCCATAAGTCTTGGTTTTTTGGTATGCTCCCATTGATAAGGCAAGAGAGAACAAAGAAAAGAAAAATCTAGAGGCAGCAAGTAGGCCATGAAGTTTAGGTGAGGCAGGAGAGAGACTGTGAACCAGATGGATAGTGTTCCTACAGTACAAGATCAAAATTCAGAATGCATGTTTCATGGAAATAATATACAGTCCCCTTGGTATCCATGGAGGACTGGTTCCAGTACTTCCCAAGGATACCAAAATCCAAGGATGCTCAAGTCTCTCATATAAAATGGCCCAGTATATATATTATGCACATTCTCCAATATGTTTTGAATCATCTCTAGATTACCTATAATACCTAATGCAATGTAAATGCTATGTAAATAGTTGTTAAGACTATATTGTTCAGAGAATAATGACAAGGAAAAAAGTCTGTACATGTTCAGTGCAGATGAAATTTTTAAAAAATATTTTCAATCCACAGTTGTTTGAATCCATGGATGTGGAACCCATGAATGTGGAGCCCACGAATACAGAGAGCTGACTATAATAGATAGTGATTAGTACATGATAAAGATGATTGTAATAGCAACATTAACAACAATTAACACAGCAGAGGTATTCATCAGAGATGTTTACTATTTGCCAGGCAGTATGCTAAGTGTTTTATACATGCATTATCTTATTTAATGCTCACAACCCTGAAGAGGGCAATATTATTGGCTCCTCTCGCCAGATGAAAAGAATGAAGCTTAGGAAGGTTAACAAGTTTGTTCAATTTTACAAAGTGAATGGCAAAACCAGAATTCAAGCTAGTCTGATTCCAAAGTCCAACTACATAACACCTCAGTTACTTATGAATTATTCAGGCATTCATATGCTCATTGCTAATATTGTTGTTTTTATGGAGAAGTTTGTGCTGAGTTATAAACTGTAGGTTTTAAAAAACTTGTAATTTCAAACACAAATCATACTCCTCCATTAAAGCTAAAGAAAAAGAAAATGAAAGAAAATTGGGCTTAAAGTCCTGTGGTTTTCAATTCACCCTACACATTGTCACTTGCCATGATATCTACTTGCTCAGAAAGTTTTAGTGACTTCTTACTGACCACACACACAGATACAGACACACACACGGTCAAAAGTTCTTGGTTTTACATTTAAGGTCCACCACAATTAATCTTCCTTTTTTATTTTTATTTTTTCTTGAGACAGGGTCTTGCTCTGTCGCCCAAGCTGGAGTGCAGTGGCAGTCTTGGCTCACTACAACCTCTGCCTCCTTGGTTCAAGGTATTCTCTTGCCTCAGCCTCCCAAGTGGCTGGGATTACAGGCATGCACCACTACACCTGGATGATTTTTGTATTTTTAGTAGAAACGGAATTTTGCCATGTTGGCCAGACCAGTGTTGAACTCCTGACCTCAAGTGATCTGCCCGCCTCGGCCTCCCACATGGCCTTCCAAAGTGCTGGGATTACAGGCCTGAGCCACCACACCCAGCCCACAATTAATCTTTCTAATCACATATTCCCTTAATATAAACATTACAATCTAGAAAGTCACCTCATATGCCCAGAAGACACTATGAATATTCCTGCCTTCAGGCCTTTCATACCAACTGGAGGTTGTCCCAGATTCCTCAAAGCCTCTCCAAATCCTCCCCTCTTTCACACTCTGCCATACATGCTGCTTTCTTCTCTATCTTGCAGTCTTCTAAACTGCTGTGCATTTATGCCTTAAAATGTCAAATATGACTTAGTCTCACAATTCTCTGCATCCATCACATACCTGACAGGATGTTTCACACACTATCAGGATTTGAGTATGTGTTGCACTGATTTACAAAGTTAACACTAAAAGTGAAATAAACACTTAGAAAATATCAATAGCCTACTATAGTTTATACGGAAAGATAGTAATAGAGGGGGTTAAATGCTGTTTTATGTTTTCCCAGTAAATAAGATTAAAGAAAAAAAATTTTTAAGGAAACGTTAAGTAGGGACACAGGCAATGCTCAGTGCTTTTCTCCTGTTTCTAAACTAGTATGGAAAGCAGAAAGCCCCCTCAGTTTCTCCCAACTAAAACGCTAATTTGCATTTGAAGTCATTTGATTCAGACAGACTGGCACCAAATTTTTAGAGGGAAAAAAAATAGTAGCTAAATTTATATCAATATCATGTTGTAGCTGGGTGCTTTTAACACAGGCCTTATGACTCCTGAAAAACATATAACTCTGTTACTTTGCAAAAAATTATAATCATCATATATACTAGAAACTTGGAATTTAATAATCCAAGTTAGCTAAATCACAACTGCTCTAAGAACCAGCTTTTCTTGTCAAATATAAAGTCAAAATTCAGTTAAAAAATTTCTCACAGGAGTATGAGTTGAATGTTATATGGAATAAAGTCTAACAGGGGGTTTTGCTAAGAGTGTTTATGCACAAAAATAATTTGAAATCAGAACAATGTATTCCATTTTAAATGAATATACTAAACGGTGGGATAAAGCATGAACATGTTCGGCAAGCCAATAAATAGAATCCACACATTAAAATTCTCTAAGAACATTTGGTTTTCAGAACTTTTAAGTCCAAGTCTTTAAGTATCCCAAACCCATAAAGAATCCAAACAATGAAGCGGGCTACCTCTATCACTTTCTTTTATCTTCCTATTCCATCATATGATCTTTCTTCAAAATCCATTAGTGTTTATTTCCTAATTAACCTATAACTCAAAAATGTCAGTTTTTTCACTCAGGCTTCCCCCCAAAATAGTCTTAACAAACTACCTGTACTTCCTCCTGTAGAAAACTTAAAAACCCAAACTAGGAAGATCAACTTTAAGGATGACAGTATGAAGAGCCCTGCTGATCTGCTCCCCAGTGAAACTGGTGAAAATTATTTTAAACCAAAACATTTACAGTCTCTGGAAATGGTCTTAAGAGCAAACAGCAAATTTTTAAAATCTACTTAAGAAAATCTACGAAAATTTGGTAAGAAAGTCAAGTCTGTGGTGTTTGAACCCTGTTTCCCCAACAAGCTCAGGGTGGCAGAGACTACATGCTAGACTTATTTTTTATTTTTTATTTTTATTTTTTGAGATGGAGTCTTGATCTGTCGCCCAGGCTGGAGTGCAGTGGCATGATCTTGGCTCACTGCAAACTCTGCCTCCCAGGTTCAAGCCATTCTCCTGCCTCAGCCTCCCGAGTAGCTGGGACTACAGGCGCCCGCCACCACACCCAGCTATTTTTTTGTATTTTTAGTAGAGACGGGGTTTCACCATGTTAGCCAGGATGGTCTCAATCTCCTGACCTTGTGATCCGCCTGTGTCAGTCTCCCAAAGTGCTGGGATTACAGATGTGAGCCACCGCGCCAGGCCACTCCACGCTAGACTTCTACTGCCATGAACACAGGGCTCCCTCATCCCACAGCTCTCATTTGGTGGGCTTTCTCCCTGGGAGGAGGAGGAGGAGGATATGAACACTTCTCATCCAGCCTCCAGTCACCTGTTACTTCCAGGCAAGTTCGGTCAACAGGAGGGGGCTTCCTTCATTGACCCAGCCCCTACTCATGGAATGGAGGGTCTACCTAGGGCACAGAACACTGAGAATACTGGAGCCCTGACTGTCTTGCCCTGGCTCATGAGGAAGTGGTTCCATAGTGGAAAAGGCAAGCCAAGAGGACCTCAGGCCAATCCATCCCCAATCTAGCACTCAGCTCCTAGAGTTGTGGTATCACCCAGAGAGAAGCCTACGGCCGTCTTCACCCCTACCTCCAGAGACCTGGTTCTGATTATTTTGCTAAGGGGAAAAGGAGAGGGAGAGGCAGGTCAGAAAACAGATTCTCCCAATCTCTTCCCAAAGGAATTAATTTCATTTACAATAGTCTGTGAAGAAGCTCAAACCTAAAGGTACTATCAAGAACAATGGAGGTTGTGGTGAAAAGCACATGTCTTCCTTCAAGGATTTAAGGAAGACATATCCTAGGCTGCAGGCTGCTGTGCTCCTAGTAGAGAAACAGGAAATAAGATAGCTGGGAGGAGCCCTCCTGGGGTGAGAGCAAGTATCAAACACTTAACCAAGGTAACTATTCCTGAAGGAGGCACAATTTGATTGGAACAGTTTGTAGAACAAGTTACACCCCTGGGTGCTATTAAAAGCAACAAGAGAGTTAACACTAGTGGTGGGGAGGGGGTGAGTGGGGTGGGTGTACTGTACTAAAATAATCCAGTCAGCCAACCTAAAAACAGATAAGCAAATATCAAGCTCTGGGTAAGGGGAGACCAGTATCTAAGGTTGCTACAATATATTATCTAAAGTGTCTGATTTCCAAGAAGAAGTTATGAGACATACAAAGAAACAGAAAAGTACGACCCATACAGCAAAAAACAAAAACAAAACAAAACAAAACACACACACACACACTACTACCTGTGAGAGGGACCAGATGTTAGATTTAACAGAAAAAGATTCAAAATTTTTGGAGACCAAAGTTCTTATTTACAGAGGAAGCCTTCAGGTAGTAGGCTTCAGAGAGAATAGGTTGTAAAACGTTTCTTATCAGACTTAAAGTCTGTGTCGATGTTAAATATGTCTCCATAAATATGTTCATGGAACAAGACATGATTAAAGAACTATAGGGGTTCAGCTATTGGGGTTCGGCCAGGCGTGGTGGCTCATGCCTGTAATCCCAGCACTTTGGGAGGCCAAGGCAGGCAGATCACCTGAGGTCAGGAGTTCGAGACCAGCCTGACCAATATGATGAAATCCTATCTCTACTAAAAATATAAAAATTAACCCGGGCGTGGTGTCACATGCCTGTAATCCCAGATACT